ACAAGTCAATCTAACTGTCTCACTCATGTTGAATTTGTTAGAGTGGTATTTCGGGATTTTGTGCCTCTGTTCATTGTCGCTATGTGTAGTAATCTACAAACGCTCATAATGGAAGACTGTCAGAATTTGAATGACTTTATTCTTTCTCCGTTGGCAACCGCTTCGTTTACTCGACTGAAAAAATTCGTATTCATTAATCAATATCAAAAGGTGCTTGATAACTTGGTTCCAGTAGTTGCAAATACACTTGGCAGTCTGAGGGAAGTGCGATTCAGAAGAAGGTTACCTAGCAGTGCGGTAGTACGTAACGCGCCTGATATTCCTCCTGCTGTAATTGAGACTATTGCCAGTACAAGTGTCAAGCTTAAGCGTTTTGAGGGACATATTGAGCAAAAGACGATGCAGGCGTTTATGACACTGTTAATGTCATGTTTGACTTTGAAGAGGTTGACCATATCCGTTGAACATAGAGAATTCTTTACAGCGCGTGTTCCACTGCTGTTCCCGAGAAGCCTCAGATTCCTGACAATATCGTTTGCTGGGTTCTTGTCCGCGAATGAACTCGATGACTTTCTTAACCATTGTTCCGCTCCTTTGGAAACATTACAATTGCCAGCCTCATGCTGTATTGATCACCATCACTTTCACGTGATCGTTAAACATGCACGTCGGATGGGTACTTTGCAGCGATTGGCTCTATCTCGATATGCCAACATTTCAGAAAAGGACATTGAACAAGCTCGTGGAGTGATTAAACACATAAGTATGTGCGGGGAACAGAAGGAATGGTAAATGGCAATTTGTCTGATAATCAGAACATTTGCGCCAGGCAACAAAGAAAAAAATGCACCATATTTGGCATTTGCAATGTGCAGCGCATATTTCGACTTAAAGGTGTATGTATGCCCATTAGATGTAATACTTTAATATGTATTAGTAGATATACAGAATAATGAACCAATTAGCAATAATGAATAATCAATTAATCAATTAGCAACATAATGTAGACAATCGATGCGATGTCTTTCTATCAATTTGTAAAGTTCTAGATTATATAACCCTGAATTTCAATAGACATCAATGAAACATACTCAAGAGACGGTAACCTGTATTATTTCCAATTACACCCCTCCGCTTTCATTATCTCGCTCGATTCCTCTTTTCTTTTCTTCTAATAGACCCTTCCCCTTTGCTGCACACATATACAAGTATTTATTCATGTTTATATCTTTATATTATTGTTTGGATTCGTCGTCTGGTATTAGCAGTCCTAATAATTCCATCAACACCTCACTCGACCTTGGATAGGCGTCAGAGTTACGCTGTACGTTCTTAAATCCGGATGATCTCCTCACCCGACTAAAATTCTCGACGACATACGTCATTACAACGTCCTTCAGATCGGGCCACTTCCATGCAGCCGAGAACAGTAGCTCTGCTGCATTATTATCATTAAGATCTCTGCATAGCTTGGCCTTTGCTCGCTGTCGCAAGTCGGTAACAAGATACTTGTCCGCTATGGCAAATAGATCGAGAGCGTTCTTATGCGAGTCTTCTCGTCTGTCAAAATTCACCTTGTCGGTATAGAGAAATTTCAGCATTTCGAGAAAGGTTACATGATGAAAGTCAGTCACATCGATTACGTATTTGATGTTATTGAGTTTAGATGACTCAAGCGCCGATTCTGCATCAGGATTGCTAATGGTGGTCGTTTCGCTATTGTTGGCAATCGGCTGTTTATCGGTCGCCTTTACGCTCGCGGTAGTCGATTCGCCCGCCGCTGTGGTCGAATTTGAGTCAGTCTTCTGCAGCTCGGCCCATTTCTGCTGAAATATACGAGAAAAATAATCCGACCTTTTCACTAATATTACACTATTGGCATATATCGTAGTTCCCTGCACGTTGAATTGTACGTCTGCTGTGTCAGACTTGTTGAGGTGTTCTGTCCATGCCTCGAGCAACGCTTCAGGTATCGGTTTGCCAGGTAAAGGACCTGCTTGAGCAAGTGGTCGAAACATGGCAGAGTCGAATTCGACTCCAAGTGTAAATGCATTTGGTAATAAACTTTTCTTATAGAATCTGTTTAGACCTGGCATAAAAAAGATATAAAATAGTCAACACTAGAGTCTTTGTATGAAACGAATGGGTGAGATAGAAGACATATTACCATGATTCATCATAAACATACCATATCCACCCCATTTAGCACAGAAGTTGTCCATACCAATGATAAACGTCTTTACATATTGGCTTGAATAAATCGAGTGAACAGAAAGTTAGCAAGAGACCTCAATTACTTGCACCCTGCCATGGTATGGCATGCTTTTGACATTGTACGCTTACCCAGTATATTCTTGTCCACAGAGTGATTGTATTCGTAGGTAAAGTGTTGCTGACAATGTTCCTCTTCTTGACCATACACCAGCCATATGCTCTTCTTCTGCATTTGGGATAGCGCATAAGAATAGAGAGAAATAGTCTGGGTCATCTTTAAAGGACTATTCAGAAAATAGTATGAATTACTATTATATGGATATACTCACTGATAAAGAGTATAGATATCGTATACTCGAATCTATTTTACTCACAGGAACAAACTTTAGCTGCCAAAACATGTCATCAGAGGTAGCAAATGGAGGCGAGTAAACCTCTCCGGTAATCTTGCCAACGTCGGAAAGAGTAAATTCAGAAGATCCTTTTGATCTAAGCGACATTATGGAAAAGAACAAGTAACAAAAAACGAAAAAGATGGACGAGAGGTATTAAATTCAGTGAGCGTGGCGCCACAAACAAATTTCAGGGGTACAACCACAAAAATAGTATTCATATAATTGGAGTTCATAAATAGCTATACGCACTTGGTTAAATGTGTCCCAATGAGGAACGCATTTACTAAATGATGGTTTTTTGGTGAATAATGGCTTACTATTACTTGTCTTTATTTTGCTCTTTCCCCAACAATGGCAACGCAGAAAGGAATGCTAATGTGGATTGTTAATTGATCGCGTACTTGGTAAACTAGTTTACTTGGTACTGCACGTATAAAGATCGACATATGTTACACGTCAATACAGTAATAAAGACTGTGCAAATTACCATTATCCATACGAATTGAAAAGAACCTACAAAGCTGTCAGCTGTTTGTTGCAAATAGTGCAAATAGTGCAAATAGTAACAATGGTAATCATCTCACGTGATCAAGATTGTACGAACATTCTAACGATTGTATTGAATTGCCCTTGAAGATTTGCTTCGATTGTATAGCGATAGCATTCAATCTAATGCTATATTTAGATTAGTCGTAAAACAATGACATTCCTGCCATTAATCGGGTAACACAATGGCCACAGCATCAGACACTTTATTTTTCCCAAACAAACGCATTGCAGCACTGTTCGCTGTAAATGGATCCTAATGAAACCAATTCCCTTTATAAGAGAGCGCCACCTTCTCTAGACTTCTCTCCCGCAGACACATCAGACCATGAGGAAAGTACGTAATATTCAAATCGATCAGTTGTATGTCTTTAAATACATTCTTTTAACCCTATTATTTATTAACGTTCTAAAAGAGTAGAAGAACTGCTAGGTAAGAGCATATGCGTTTCATTACTGTTTACCCGTATTGTTTCACTCTCTTTTTTATACCTACGCTCTTGTTATCCTTTCATTCACTGCATAGGTCCAACGTCCAACGAGTAAACCCGCATTTTGAAACTACAAGTCAATGGTTTAAATATCTAAACGAAAATCGCAAACCAAGGTCCTAGAGCAGTATATTCAATCTCATCGTGTCGGGCCTATGCTGTCATTTTATTCTGATAATTTTGACTTTTGCAGAAAGGATTGCGTTGCCATAGACTGTGAGATGGTCGGTGCTGGTGACGGAGGGCTCGATAATGAATTAGCACGTGTGAGCATTGTTGATTACGGTGGAAAAGTAATTATGGATACATTTGTAAAGCCACGAAAACCTGTTACTGATTACAGAACGGCTGTTAGTGGAGTTCATCCGGAAGATTTAAAAGATGGTAAAATAATATTGAGTTACTGTATATTAATATGCAAAATGTTTGATTCCAAGATGGCATTACATCACGTTTTCGTATGTTCACATAACCGGGGCCAGCTCCAGATTTTAAGACCGTACAGAACCAAGTGAAACGAACCCTCAAGGGCAAGTTTGTCGTTGGACACTCGCTCTATTTCGATTTTAGGGTAGGGTAAAACAACATTCAGTGTATGGATACAAAAGTAAACTGTGATATGCATTGATAATTTTATTCTTTTTCCAGTCCCTGAAAATATTTTGTCCAAAAGAACTCAAGAGAGATACTGCTTTGTACCCTGTAATCAGGGCAATGTGGAATGGGAGCTCACCATCACTGAAGAATCTTGCCTTCTTTGTATTTGGGATACAAATTCAAGATGGCATACACGATTCGGTAATGATACTTCATATATTCTTTGATAGAACAAAAGTCACAGTTATTACTTAAACTCAACGTTTATTATACAATAGGTTGAAGATGCAATGGCCTCAATGATTGTTTATAGACATTATGAAATTCAATGGGAAGAATATATACTTCTTCAAGGATCAAAAGCCGTTTTCGAAGAGCAGATCTTTTGTTATTACTGTAGACGTAACGGTCATATGAAATATGACTGTGATGCTTGGAAGAAGAACCAGTTAAGACGGCTAGCGAAACAAGAATCATCGTCAGAAAACCAAGAATCCTCAACTTGAACTGCGTGTAATAAAGTATTCTAGTAAATTTACGCAAGAAGCATTTTGCAAATTGGTTTGGCAACTCTGACAGAAATTCTATGAATGTATATTATATATTATTTATATTACTATATAGCTTGCAGTGTATGATATGATAAATGGAACAATAAAAAGGCTACGTATATATATAGCCTGGAATTAGTTTTTCTCTCAGAGAGTATACTCATCGTTACTTATACTTGACGTATTTATAGTTAATATGTCTCATCTCATGTTGATTCCGTGAATAGGTCTTGGATCTCTTCTAGACTTTTTCCTTTGGTCTCTGGGACTAGCCTGTATACAAAGATCCAGCCAAACAACATGATCGTGGCATACAGCCAGAAAGTCCCTGAAAACAACATGTAATTAATTAGCAAAACGCACGTGTACACAATGTACAATTTGTTATTGAAAACATGGAATACCTGACGCAGTAATAGTCTCGGTCAATGGCAAAAACGTTACAGCTATTGCTAGATTACATATCCAATTTGTCGCTAGACGGTAATATAAATAATAAATTATTAGAGATAAATCCGTTTGTTTGTTTACAGTCTGTAAGTGCAACTCTTGTCACCTGTCGCAACACCGTTCGCTCTTCCGCGCACATTCAATGGAAACAATTCACTCTGTATTAACCATGGTGCATGTCCCAAGCCAAGTGCGTAAGAAGCCTAGTTGATAGAATAGCGAAACGCGTATTCAGTTACTAATAATTTCAGATATACATAAAGTATTAGATACGCCTGCTCTTACCACATAGAAAACCAAACTTCCTATGGCCAAGAGACTGCTTATTCGACTCCCTCCGGAGCAACCAATCGGTATTTCTGTGGACTGAATGCTGCCTGCGTCATTACAAACCCCAAGTTTTATATCAAAGTTGCATCTTTCATCTAGTCGACATGCTCCACAGCTTGGTCCATAATCTGTACAACTTGGTTGCTTTGGTACAAAACCTGTTATAGTAATGAAACTAAAGCCAAGGAGCAGAAGCGCAAAAATCATACAAAGCATCGTAGAAAGAAGAATTTGGCGGCGTCCGATTGTATCGATAATGTATAATGCGGCGACTGTGGATATGGTAGTATAATATGAATTAGCACCGTATCATGTTTCTAAATTCGAAACATTTGATTACCACACCTGTCATGGCGAAGTTTGTCAGTGCAACTGATATAGATACTATAACAGCACTTTTTGCGGTCTCGAAACCCGCCATTTTCATAATAGTACCCTGTTAAGTATAAGAAATATCCTTGCATGAGTTGATAATCGACCACAAGTCTATAACCAATATAACAAGTGTTCTACAGATTTTCTAAGCGACAACTAAGTGAACCTGTAAATCTCAACATAAAGATTTTTATAGCTTATCTGAGGCAACTAAAAGCAATGTATGCTTACCCCATAGTACATAGCAGTATCAAATCCACTCAATTGTTGGATCGCTTGTAAACCGCACGCAATAATCAATGGCTTAAAGTTTGGGTAACGAACAAGATCTCTATATGAACCGTTAGCATCCACAGACAAAGTTTCGCGAATTACAGCAATTTCTGTTATAAAACATCACGACGGATAATACCGTTGTCAATAAATAGTTCATTCATCAACACTATCATTAGTTTCTGTTATTTATACAACATTTCTACCTTCGTTTACAAAGGATTCCGGAGCGCCTGGATATATTTGCCTTAATACACCCTTTGCGCCTTCTGGAGACCCATTCCGCACCAAATATCTTGGACTTTCAGGAATAAATGGAAGCGCTGCAAAGGAGAAGATGATAATAATTGAGACATGATTGCGGATTTCTGTAAAGAAAAAAAAAGCTGCTTGTAAGCAAGGCGAATAATACCAATTAGTTGGAATATGGCTGGTAGTGCTGATAGACCAAACATCCACCTCCAACCGTCTGGTGCGTCGACATAAGCAACACCGACAAAATACCTACAGTCATCGAATTAAACTGATTAATAATACTCTTCGAAATCGACAACTTCTCCTTCCCAAACATATTACTAACGCTATGACTTGTCCGCCGGTGATCATGAGCACATTAACTGTGACTAATCTTCCACGGGAATATCTGGGAGATATTTCACTAATGTACAAAGGGACAACCATTGAAGCTAATCCCACGCCCAGTCCCACGATTATTCTTCCAAGCATAAGAGCTCCATAAGAATTGCAAAATGCCAGAATAATAGCGCCTAAAACGAAGATCACAGATGCAAGAACTAGCGTAAAGCGACGCCCTGACGTGTCAGATATATACCCTAAATAAGGAAGAAAGACAGTCTAGTTTAATAGATAAAGCCATAATAGCAGTGCAGGCAAACGATACATAAGCATTGCTTGTTTGTTTTTTGGCATAATTTCCTGATGCCAAATAACTCACCAGCACCGAGACCACCAAAAAATGCACCCATTGTCGTTCCTATCAAAGATCATGATGAACGTAAGTATAGAGGTAGACAATCGGATTGATTACATTGCGATGCTATACTCTACCTCCAACAATCATTCCTTTTTCGAAAGCAGTCATTACAAAATCCTTTTCGATCAATAGCATTGCACTGCTTATCACCCCTGTATCGTATCTATTCCAGGGAATGTCCATTAGTAACTAAAATATCGTAACGACTATATAGTGAAACGTCTATTACATCCGTTAACGTTTACTTGAACAGATTAACTAACAAACACAAACCATCCGCCAAACGATAAAATCAACAACGGTATGCATTTATCTATCTCTATTCGCCCATATGGTAAGATAAATATATATATTTACCCAAATAGAAATCCACCAAGGCTAATAACTACAGCAAGCCACCATAGAAACAAGGTAACCTTTGAGTTTTTCTCCAAATCGTCAAGCAACTCAGAGTCATGGTGTGGATGCGTAATTTCATTAACAGCCTCTTCTTCAAGAAGACGACTGTATGGCGCTAACGACGGCTGTACAAGTCAAGTGAGTATACTAGATCAAGACTATATAGTTGATAAAGATTATATAACATATATTCACCCTTGCTGACATGATTTTTAGATACTAAGACCAAGACGCTGGACACAGATTGTTTATGTTTACGTAATACATTGTGTTCTGAATATCTACATGTTTGCTCTCATATGATGGATAAGGCTCAATCATTTATTTATTCAGTCAATAACAATATGCAGCGCGCTACGCTAACAACAATATCAATTTACGGTAATTGAAAAGCCAGCCTTGAATTACGTTGAGAATTCCAGGTTCTCTGTTGTGATCTAGCCGACACGAATGAAGATAGAATTTGAGTATATCACATGTTTAGAGCAGTTTATTTAGCAACCGGGAATGGTACCAAGCTTAGCGCCCTTATTGTACAATTAAACTATGCTTCGAGTGACTATAAAAATCAATGAATTAATTATTCGCGTCTGATCACCTAATGCTAGGATCGTAAGAAAGCAAGAGAATGGGAAGAAAAACGTTCGCGTAGGGCAAGTACATATCCACAGTCATCAGTTGATCGCTAATTCTGACAGTCCACCTTCTAAACTTCTACTTTCAAAATTTGAGAATATTTTGCGATTGAAGACCTAACGAACTTATTGGATGTCGAACACACAGTACGTGTGTGGATAATCGAACGATAATTTAATCATACGATGAAATTATTGGTTTTTATTATCTCCGTCGTGAGATATGGAAACTAATGTTAGACATCGAAACATTCGAATGAAGAGTTTCTATCAAATTATTATAAGACTTCGAAATCAAATGTCGTAGTTCTCTTTTCAAACTGCCAGATTGCAAATTGTATATTAGGTATTTAGATGCACTAAATGTCTTGAAAAGTAATAAAATTGTAAAGAGTGGTACCAGTTTACGTTATAATAGCAAGTGATTTAGATAGAGGTTGTGTAACAGTCTGAAACAGAGTCTAGACCTCGACAACATGATTTCAGGAGTTGGGAATTTTGCAGATTGCTTCGATCGCCAAGTTTGAGTTACGGCATGACTGACAGAACATCACAATATAATTAATTACGTTCAGCGGTTTTTTTTCATTTTTTTTTTTTTCATCCGAGTTACATCGGGACTAATTAGGAAGCAAGACCTTTTTCTTGTCTATCATTACTTGTATTAGACTGATTAGGAACAACATCGACATCCGTCAATTCATTATAGAATACAATCTTTATCGTATATGGAAATAGAAATGCGATGACTGCTTTTATGTCTATTTCTTCCATAGATGCATAAACAATGATATATCGAAATCATACGTTGACCATTGGATAGCCAACATGGCTTAAAAGAAGTCTCGCACAGAATGACGTACGGGACAAAACTGATCTAGTCATAATTTCATTGGCTAATAGATACTAGTTCGAGTATCGTCTATAATTATCGTCACAATAAACATTATCAGTCTTCCAGTAATTCAGGAAACGTAAAAACAAGACTTGGAATCTATAAACCTGATAACCACAGAGAGAGAATTTAGGGAACTATTTCCCGCGGATTTTTTATCCCACAGTAGTATAGAGACTTGAATGGTATGTTTATGCACGCGCGAATGTCTATCATGAGCTAATGACCAGCTCAACCAAACCGACTACAGTGAATTTTTATCCTGATTATTTATACAACTTGCATATGATACATATTTAATTGCCAACTGACAGAATGCGCTTACCATGAATTCCAGCTTCAACGGGGGAAGGGAGAGTATAAGATAACCTATCCCATGCTTTATATCATATCACTCTTTTGACAAAAAACTCTAAAGGTAGTGGTTTTGGTTTTACATTTGGGATCACGTAATTGTTTTGTGTATTCTTTCGAGAAAACTCGAAATTCTTCAGGCGACATTGAAAGACAGTCTATCAGGGATGGGGCTGCAGCCTCTAATGACTGAATCAGATGAGTAGCCCAGATTTCTCCATCTTTGCCTCCCCATGGACCAACCGCATGTTCTATTTCCTGCCTTACGACATTTAAAGTTTGTGGATGAGTGCTTAGCAATTTCTCTAATTCGTGGGCGAGACCAACCCAGACGCCTCTATCTTCTAATAGTTGTCTGCCTAATGAAGAGTTATGGTAAATCAATTTGTAAGGGTCGAAAAAGAGTCAACCACATGTAATCGCACACAAAGTAGTTGATACTTGGCCCATTCATCTGTAATAATTGCTTACCCGCTTTCCATGTGACGGCCAGAGTAGGCGTCGGATCTACTACCTCTACTCCCTGTTCCATCGTTTCAATCCATCCACCAGGTTTGGTTACCCTCATCAACTCGTTTAGCAACGTATGGTGCCATTCGTCTTTGGTGAATGCTTTATTCAAAAACCTTAGATAGACAAAATCAAAAAAGCCGTCTTCGAATGGGAGTCCCTCAAGCACGTCGCATGTTAAAAATTGCGTATTTGCTGGTTTGATCTGTGTGGGGTAGGCTGGTGATATGTCGACTCCGATAAAATTTGTTCTTATGAATGTGCTAGCCATATCGAGTATCCATGTTCCTAGTGTTACACGAAGGGGGTTTATTTCGACTGATCTGCAAGTGGACGAATGAGACAAGATGTATAATAATAACTCACCTGGCCCACAGCTGCAATTATGGTGCAAGACCGAAACTAGTTTGTATTTAGAAAGTTCTATTGAAAACAGATGCACAAATATTAAAGACTTGCCTACCCAACATCTAAAACATTTATTCCCGAATTCAACGCTTCTTGTACTGGTGCGGAGAAATTTCCCTGTATATCAAGGCAATGATGTATGACATTAGTACGACTTGACGCGTCTCCACTGCATACGAATCGTTGCGATTGAGCTATGAACCCCGTATTATCACTCCTCAAATCCTTCTTCTCTTTCCTCTTCTCTTCCCTCTCTTACTAACATTCCAAGAATTTTTAAGCATGTAATGCATTATATGAAAATAGTCCAACAATGACTCATTGTCTGCATCGAGCACTTTTGAAATTCCATCGTTGTATCCGTCACTTCTGACTGAACCTTTCGCTGAACTTGCTCCCGATGATGTGGTTGCTAGGGATACTGCACTCGACCTACTGGACAACTTGAATCTCTTCCGCGCTTTTGTTGTGACCGTTGAACTAAGGTTATTCCCCATTGTTATCGACGGACAATTGATGGATATTAGTGGTGACAATAGTTTGTATTGAGTTGTGAATACTGGGGAGATAGAATAGAAATTTGAAGAGTAGGTAGAGTTAAAAGTACGAGAGTTAGTCGTTACTGTGAATTCCGTTAATTCTCGGAAGGATATTTATATAAAATACGTATTTGTATGTATTGATATGTACTGTAAAATACATGTTGTGTGTGTGGCTGGAGCGTTGTGCATTATATAATATTATGCAAAGCTGTTTACATTTCAGTGTCTAATGGATCTTCTTGTTGCATCCAACAATAAGAAATTTTATTTCGTTTTATTCTCACAGTATGACTTCTTTTAGATTCTATATGGCTAACTAATAGCGTTAGCATAACAATTCGAATGCGTTCCCCACCCCTCTCTCCAAGGCTAGTTATTATACCGAGATGCCAGATCATTTATTTGAACACGTGATAACCGAAAACTCTCTCTCCGATACGTGCAACAAAGGGAGTTTTATTAAGCGTTATGTCAGCACGGACATCGGGGGGGGGGGATGCAGAAGTAGTACAAGTAAGTAATTTATATTTTTACTGGTCAGCGTTCCCAAACATGGGAATTGGAGAATGTAATATAAATGTGGCTAAAACCGATTTACCAAAACCAGTTTTATTGGTAACATTCGTTACACTTTCGATCATACTCACAATCCAAGTAGATCGTCAATCACATTCGCTACAGAAAGCGTATTGTCTTTGTAAGAAAGTGCAATTAGACACTGGGTAATAAATACAATTACCCAACTCACCTTTATTAGAAGTTCTCTGGGCGTTATTATTGTTGTTACTACTGGTAGATGATGATGATGACAACTGAATAGCACCGCGCGGAGGATTATTTTCTAGTTCAAGAAGCCACGAATCAACTGACGACGAACTTTTGGTATTACATAATCAATTAGGTCAACATAGCGTAACGTCGCACGGACAACATTTTTAATATAGACAAACCTCACTGGTTGTTGCGTCTGGTGCAGCTCTGTACTCTGGGGTTGTAACACACCAATCGGCTGCTGCCATAACTGCTGCGACTGGGCTGGTGGCTGCATTGACCCCCACGACGACCACATTTGAGAGCCGTGCGTTGACTCTGACAACGGCTGTGTCAATTCATTAAGTGAGGACACCAAGTCCGGTACAGCAGAAGATGTCATTGTGGATTGGATATTCTGAGAGGGTGCAGAACCTGTACTACTGAAATCGATCAACAGAGGAGCCTGGTTCGCCGATCTGTTGGATATTCCCGGTCAGCGAATGAACCAAGTCACATGGGCTAATTAACACAATGGGAATAAATAGCCCTACTGTATGAATAATATTATCTTACACTGCTTTATCCGATTCCGCCTGCTCGACTGGAGTGAAGATACCATTTGATATGTTGTCGTATCGTTTTAACACACTATTAATAAGATCGTTCAATGACAATAATTTCTCTAAACATATCACAGAAATCGCGCAGATTAGTATCATGCCAATATTCTCTACGTAATGTATAATCGTATGCTCCTTTACCAATGCTATCCGAATCCTCCTCTTCGGTAATTAACTTCTGAATTTTTGGTTGGACACCCTTGCACGAGGTCATTAGTTCCTGTTACATTATGTTAGATCAGATAGGCCTGGATGAAAACATCAATCTTGCCTCAAGGATTGCTTAAATTGCATTCTTACGTTAAATACATCATTATCTCCAATCTTTTCCCCCTCCTTAACTCCATCAAGCATATCATTTAACAGCGTAGTCTTCCGTCGTATGCGTTCCAATTCTTCAAAAGCCTGTTTCTTGTAATCAGGTTTAGTATCTGGGTCCTGTTACATAATGACATCATTCAGGCATATAAGAGTAAATGTAACGACAGTTATCATTAGAAACAACAACTCGAGTGGCCATCCCTTATCGTGATGAATAACATTCCGTTGTCTCGTTATAAATAATTAATGCTTACATATCCTGCCATTATCTTCATAAGTTCATTTGCTTCTGCAAGATCAGCAGGGGACCCTCTACGGATCAATTCTTGCAATTTCTATGTATGGTATTCAATGGTATAGGTGGGTAAGGTCACGGAGGAAGTCATACAGAGATATACTTCATTCGTTTTATTGATCTTTACCGCTGCTTGTGCTGTCCTGTCTTCTTCCTCTAGTTCTTCAGGTGATTTTAAGACCTGTGTTCAGATCACCAAGATAATTGTAAGACCACAATAATAACGGGTACAAGAATCCAAGCAGAAACTAACAAACTAATCGTCGTACGGGAAATATTTCGATTCAGTAATAACTGAACTATGGGTGATTTTATTCCCCCCTTTTTTTTCTGTTGTCCCCAAATTTAGCATCGGTCACTTAACTGTTTTTCATACTTGGTTCTCACTTAAATACTCACTTCAGCAGGGTTCAACACAGACGCCGATTTTGTATCTACTTCCGGGAATCGATAACCTACGAGCATGTTATTAACATAGAGCAAACTCAATTGCGGGTCCGATTGGTTTTAACATGGCTGTAATTACTTACCTTTGTAAGTAAGTAGTCGATGCATATCGCTAATATGTAGTAAATCTTCTTTGTACCGCGATGTAACGCACAGCGTAGACTTCCATGCTTGAATAAGTTCAAGAATTTTCATCTGAATGGGGTTTGGAAAAATCTAAGATACATCGCAACCATCACAATTATCAATAAAGTTAGTGAACAATTTCAAAATCAACACACCGCCTTAATACTTGACTAACCAGAGGCTTGTCTGGAAACTTCCGAACGAGTTCATTGAGAAACTCTTTTGTTGCTATCTGCATGTGGAATGGATATCCGCAATTTTTTACACAGATATCCAATAACTGTTGAATAATTGTATAGAAAATTAGGATGTATTGGTAATCGATGTTTGAAAAAAGAAGCAACATTTACACTGTGAATTTAAAATACCGTCAATGCCAACATGGCCACATTGGGGTTGCGATGATTAATCATTTTGACAATATGCATAGCTGCCTCCCGTGGACTGGGGGATCAAACCAAACAGCATTGATTTAGGATTAGTTGTTTTTGACTGAAGTTTACACACGAATCCTATAACCACTGTGTTTATTCATACTAATTCTGTTTCTTCTGATTGATCACATCTGCAATTTCTAAATCTAAGGCCAAGTTAGGTTCATAGAGAGCCGGATGACATGCTCTTTCTAATAGGTAAAACGTAGTTAGCGGTCAGTGACAGTGCACGTTTAATTGGCCATTTATTCACATTCAGTAAAGCACACGACCAGGCTATTGAACCTACCTACATATATTTGGATCAGCGACTTGGGAGGAGGTCCTTGGGACGAAAGAATATTCATTTTAAGTGAGCGACAATGTGTGATAGCTAAGATGTAAGCAATATGTTTATCCATATCATGTGACCATACGATGATCCAATTAATTGGTGAATAAGAGCAAGCAGTACAAACTGCGCTGTATCTTTCCGTAATGAACAATTTGGAATCTTTCTATGACAAAATCTTTCATCATTTCTGTACAGAAACTATGCTTCTATTATTCCAAAATGGGTAAAATTCCAAATGGGACAATATTAACATTTTAACTGTCTTAATTGTGTTAGATATTGGAATATATGAACGATAGGAATATTTACCGTATTTGTACAATTCGTTAATACGTCTGTCTGAATTTATAGCTGATATGAATATTTTTTAAATGTCAGTCTGAATGCGGTAATGAACGGCTAGGATGAGTGCTTGTTTAATTAGAAATGACACTTGTTCGTATAATTTTCAAAAACGTGTCTGTCCGACATGTTACAAACATGAGTATATATTAGGGATAAACTGCGGAAGTTGTTAATACCGCTGGCCAGACAAAACCCTGTATGAACATCATTTTGGGTCCTGTCGCCGCTGGTAGCAGTATCAACGTTCAAGCGAATAATTTCTTCATAGAATATTTGGTTACATGATCTCATTAAACATCGTGTTATATAGCAGCAAGTGTTAATATAATATTATTAATGTCGAAGTATGTGATACCAATTTTCTGTTCTGACATACAACACCGACCGCTAAACTTGTTACTAAGTCCGTGCATATATGTATTCAAGGATATTTAGTAGATGCCGTCATTGCTTGCTAAAGTTTAAACAAATATGCTAATAATCACAGAGATGTTTTGCCCTATATAGTATACAGTTGACTTGGCCAAGTTTTTCAAATGTAAGATTGCCGCATGTTTAGCTACGTACGTACAAGCACATTAGCCACTCCGCTCCCATCTTTAACTGTTGGAACTTGGAACCATTTAAATCACATATTAATATGGCATTATCAACAATTTATTCTTGTTCATGACAAGTGAATTGATTATCCCTCAAAAGCTTTTAATTATCATTGTTAAAAATTCATTTCCTTTTTTTAAATGCTAAAGGTAAAGAAGCAGGAACATTAATGCCACGTACTACAATACTCTTCGGTAGCTTTTCATCCACAATGCTAATGTCATACTTTCGAATGAGTATGGAAAGTGTCATTTTGATATGTTTACTAGCAAACGATCGACCAGGACACGCGTGTTTTCCTAATCCAAACGACATCGAATCCCTACCGACTTTGGAAAGCGGAGATTTGTTGACATGTCGAAACCCGGAGAACTTTTTTGGCTCATCGCCGTGTAGAGATTGATCCTCCTTGTAAGCAATAAGGTTCATAAATACCAGCCGTCCTAACGGAAGCAAATAACAAATAAGGATGGGCTGTGTCAAACAAAGTTGAAGCGTGAACCCGTACCTTTGGGAATTTGATATCCGTTACTGAAAGTATAAGACTTGCTCATTGTACGATGGGGAATAAAAACTATATAAAGAAAGCAGAAAGAATGATCGGAGAGATGTTATTACAAACAGGGAATGATTACATGTTTCCAATAGGATACTCACACACATTCCCATCCCCTCTGAGTCGAAGAGATTCTTTGACAAAACTGTCCAATTTTTCCATTTTGTTTACTTGATCCATAGTCAAATCAGAATCAAGATCTCCCACTACGGCTTCTTGTTCTTCTCTTAGTTCTTTCCAATACTCTGGTCTTGCCGCGTACTCTAAGTGAAGTGAATGTAATCATAAATATTTGTCACAGTTTTTACTATATCACGTGAGTAATAGTAACTGTCTTATGGATACATACCATTAAGTGCACTTGTAATACCTCCAGTCGTAGTATGAATCGAAGCAAATATGAGTGTTAACAAACGGCATGCGATACAATCGTAGTGGAGTTTACCAAATGTTTCAAGACAATAGTCAATAAGCTGTTGGATAGGATCATCCTGTGCGACATGTGCGACAAATGTTTATAAATGAGTGTTTGCAACAATTTTGCGTCAATCACAATACTTACAGGAGGCTTCCATTTATCGCCAAACTGCTGCATGTCCCTATACCGTTTCTCAAAAATCGGCTTTAATTTCTTTATCAAAAGATCCTTATGGCGCTGTACTGGGTTGTCTCCATAATTAAGAGCAAGTCTATAGGAAGCATACGGGTTTAAATGAATTAATATGTATTGAACCACTACTATGATATGATTATATTCCGCCTTAATATTATTGACGAGATGTATTTCATCTTCCCAAAAAAATTATCGCATTTATCTAGTGACTTACTTGAAGTATTCTCTATAAAGACGAGGGTGAATGGTATATGTAAGTTGAGAAAGGCTTCTAGCCCGCACTAAGACGGCAGCAAATGTTGCAAATGTCTTCACTATCTCGTCATCTTTACACAAATCCTAAAAGAGAATTAGTGAATGTACCACAGACGTCAAAATATACATACGTGTATTACTCACTTACCTCACCAACAATGATATTTGCTACTGCTCGCGAGAGGGCGTATCTTAAACGTTCCTCGGGATCGTTGATCACCTTAGTCTCCTCACAGTCTCCAATCAGCTGGTCGATACCGCATCGTAGCTCACGATAGCTGCGCGATTGACAATTCTCCACATGTCTGTGAAATCTATCCGCCTTAATTAAATTAGTCAAACTATCCAAGTAGTCGGGATATAAGGTTGATCCGGTGAGGTAGCCAATTGGAAATCTCTGTTAGATAGACGAGAGCATAATTAAGACAGACCAAGCTGTTTTTCTAACGACGATGGATGGTTACACCAATGTACCTACCTCTTCAAATCCATCCCTGAAACTGAAATCAGCAGTCCTAAACAATTCGTAGGCTAGACTATTGCTGACAACGGTGTAGACTTGACGATACGAGTAGAAAGAAAATATATCTCCATACTACAAAATCAATGTAGTTAGAAAATGCCAAAAGCAAATTGCTATATATCATTGTCATAATACCTGTTCATGGCATTGTTTGACAAATTTACGGGGATTTCGTAAAAACTCGAAAGAATGCCTGACCAATGGATATTCGCAAGGTACGAGTGGAGGCTCATTCTATGGGACAAGAATTAGTCCACGTTTGTTCAAAAAGTTCAAGCTTCAAAGACATTATACTCACAAGTTCAGGGCGATGGAACCAATAAATCGTTATCAAGAAAACTGCACCAAGAAAGAGCACGTCCAGAGCATAGGGTGAGACTATCGCTGTTAATAAGGTCATCACAAAGTAAAATCTATACTAAAGAAAGTGATCGCTTCATTATTTATAAAAGTATATAGGGTGAGAGAAATGTCTCGTGCTGCACCTTATACTGGAAGTGATCGTCAAATAACAATAATGAAAGGCATTACAATTCTCATATGTTGCTGCATCATTGTTGAGAGAGTTAATATAATATTGGCTTAACAACTAATATCCGCCGCGAATGAGTAATCATATCGTGTAACATTTATTTGGCCCGAGGGCCAGAACACGTACATTCAATCACACCTACGATACAATGCGCAGCTATCCGTTAAGCTCTTAACATCACTAGTAACAACTATTTGTATCAACTGAGTTCTATACACAGCCACTTCGTCAATTACCAGAGGAGTTGCAGAATAAGATGATAGTGATGGCGGCGCAGTGCACATCTTTTAGCATTTATTCCTACCTGATGGATTTGGTAATCGGAAGTTTAGGTGCTTGCCCAAATAAAGTGGAAGGATTTATGTTATAGAATAAGGTTGTATTGAAACAATAATGTAAATAGCACGATTGTTGAAAATCACCAACGATTACTGTTTATGTACCTCCCCACAGTGATTGCTAATTTTAGCACCTCGACTGACATATTCTAAAGGCTATCGGTCACAAGTTATATTTACTCTTACTATCAAAATGTACTTTCTCTATTTTCAATAAATTTAACAACGATAAATCTGTGGGGGTTGAACTAAGACTACGTGTTATTTGATCCCCATCATCAGAAGTAACATTCAAACTTCCGGAACCGTTTATTTCCCGCGTAAAGATAAATGATATCTTTATCATAAGAAGAATCGACCAATGTTTATTGTCGCTTGGAGAATCTGCCAAAGTTTATAATGTATCGGGCCTCGTTTATTACCCAATTTAATACAATCGTAATACAATAGTAGAATCATCACCAACACATTTAGATTGTAGTCGACATTTTTTTCTGAGACTTTTATACATTGGTCCACATCTCTGTTAATTATAGTTGAACGAATATGCAGAATATGCTAAAAGTGTCGGACAAACACGGCAACTTCCAATAGCTAACCAGTTTTATCATTTATTGATTGTAAAATTTAATGTTAATATTTCGGGAGCATTTCTTGCTAACTATTGTCCGTTGTTATGATATATAGTTCTGGGCAATATCATCAATGTTAATGGTATTCAGGTTTTGAAAGTTTGTTTTATCCAATTGTAAATATTATAACAGTCTTATTGGGTTATGGAGTTAATGGACAAATTAGAATATAGGATTCATAAAAAATTTGAGTTACGTAATAATAATTGACCTCTTTTTGACATTTCTCCTCGTGAAAGAAGATTTTGATAATCTGTTTAATAACAAAGGTGTCAGCAATGGCTAAATCAGGCCTATCATCTGTGTGAGAATCGGATGGCTCGGCCCTGCAGACGCGACGGATGTTAGTAAGATTTACGCAAATTAATGACATAAAGCACTAACATTGCGCGCAGTTAACAATCGGTTAAAATTTTCAATGATGGAAAAGACCGCTTGGAAGGTGAGCCTCGATCCAGAAGGTCTTTGCGAAGCAATTTGGAAATAATGGGCGAATATTACTATTATTATAGTTGTTCTTCGTATTGTTAATTCAGTAAATCAACAATAATATAGTAATCGTAAATACTATCACAACAGCATCAATGTAAGATATGTCATCTTCCACATTCCTCTGTTGAGCACAAGCAACGATAGCTTATTCGTCTAGACACGTGAACAGAGACAGTTGCGGTTCCAGCACTGGAAACAATAAAAAGCTTGTCCCTTAATACGATGTAAATAAATGTGAGAATTACATAGCAAACGCATTTTGTTGTTTTTCACTTATCATCATTTTATATTTCCAACTGCCATTATTGACCCTGTGATACAGATGCGCTTACTTTGGTGTATACAATCCCTTTTCTACGGACTATTGGAACCAATTCCACCGGTTTAGGTACTGTAGCGTAATGAGCAATCAAGACCGTGAGTGTATGTAAATCCCATCACTATGTAAATTCCGTTTGAGGTCTCCAAACGCATTTACATAGTAACGGGATTTACATACAAAGCCAGAAATAAGGTTACTAACTGTACAATTTAAGCAGGAGTAGAGCCTCGATTGAAAGAGCCAAAATTACTGAACATCTCCTGCGGTAATTGGCTCGGGTTATGATGACTTTTTCTCATTACTTATACAATAGATGGTGTAAATCTGCGAATTGCGATCCGCTATCATTATATTTTGATTGGTACAATTTATGCAAGAGACGAAACCATATTTTTCCCTTATTGGAAATGAGACTATTTCGTATTTCCTAATCAAGTATATTTTCTGTGCATCTGGTTAATGCAAAATTACTATATCTATATCTATATTTATATTATATTATGAATCAGGTCCAGATATGGCCTCCGTCCACCCACCACCCAAGTGTGTGCTTTATACCAAAAAAAAAAAAAACATAAATAATAAACCCCCCCCCCCTCCGCCCGCCAACTTATTATTATGGGTTGAATTATGTTGTGAAAAAAAACTCTTCTATTTCCCATAATTTTAATATTATATTTAATCGAGTAAGTTTTCCTTTTGAATAAATGCAACTTGCTATTAATGTTATATAAATCTCTCGCATTATCGATTTACTACATTATACGTTTTCTTCTTTCCGTGAAAAACAACAACTGATATTTTCGTTGTCGCTTGATATGAGTTCCCTGCACCATCATTTTTTTTCGCGAACATATAATCCATTACATACAAATTTTATGATTCAACGTTTTTCAATACGGATTGATTACAAATCCGCTACAGACGCAGACTTGACCTTCATATCACATATACGTACCTTCGCTAAAAAAGGGCCGAGTTTTCTAATATCTCAAATCCATGACATATTCGATACTTTTCTTTATATAGTATATCACTTCGCTCTAGAAAGGCTGTTTTCTTTATTACCTCAGAAAATTCATATGATGTATTCGATACTTTCCTTTATATATAGTATGTTATTTACTTTTTCCATGCAAACCAATTTTCGCTAGCTAGAAAGGCTAAGGTTTATGGCGTATTCGATACTTTTCTTAATATGCCACCTCTTTACGTTGCACACAACACTGCTAGTACCCATTGTCTGATTCACTGAAAAGGCTAAACCCGGGCGTATTCATCATTTTCCTCTGCACAGTATGCCTGTATTATTATAGTATGTTAGCCATGCCCAGCACTCCATGTTACAATATTTACTTGTCCCGATATGACGTACTCCTCATTTCCTAATGTATAGTAAAGGCTAAGTTTTCTATTACTTCATTACTTTCTTCTTTATCTATGTCATGTTACACCACAATACTAGTATTTATTGTCCGATTTCGCTAAAAAGGCCAAGTTTTCTGTTAACTCAAATCCATACGACATACGTACGTATTCGCCATTTCCCTCATACGGTATTATTTATGCCACGTCTCTCTATAATACCCCATTGCCTGATTTCGCTAAAAAGGTCAAGTTATCTAATACAAGGCAAACTCGATAAGACGAAAGTCGGGGGCGGGGGCAATTTATTCGGCTTATCGAGATTTTCGTTTTACTAAATTTCGCACTAAGCCGAATTTATATATATATTTGCACAAATTTTCGACTTACAATTCAACAGTATAAACTTATTCATCAATGGTAAAACGAAAGAATATTTATTTGCTGTAACGTATTCTGAAGTTTAGTCTCAATTATTCTCTTTAACTTTCTTAAGTTAGATACGAAAGTAATATCAACGTCGAGCTCGTTGTCACAATCTTGACTGTGTTGGGTTTATTCCAAACCCGATTGCTAAAGTTTCCAACGTAAAATTAGGATGTTCTTACGCTTTAATACAAAGAGCTTTTTTCGAGGCCAGTCAGCGTCTTACGTTTTATTTTTTTCTCTGTGCTTTATTTTTTGAATTGCTTATTATGGACACAATATTTGAAGAACCACTCGTTGAACTTTGTCCATTCTGAAGGATTAAAGTTATTTGTAACAAGCACCTACGTGTTTAAACGAAAAGATTTTTCATAAAGAATACCTGACGCTAATGGCCGAAAATTCTATAACTGGAAAGGTAAAATCGATAATAAACAATCGAGCGACAATTCAAGAACCGAACCAATCAATACACATTCACGTGACAACTTCGGTATATATCGAGATAAAATTATTATTGTCAGTTGTTCGAAAACCTTCGGCTTACCTTTTAACGTAAATTATTAATAAAGTTCGGCTTACGCTATAATAAAAATTTGGTAAACCAGAAAAACTTCGGCTTAATGCAATTTCGGCTTAACGTGGCTTCGTCTTAACGAGTTTAACTTGTAGTATGATTGTAACTGTAAAGGAGGTAAATGGAACAGCCTGTGACTGTAGGAGAGGTTGACTGTATTACGTGATGTATCATATCAATTTTTCAAGTCTTAAGTCACTTTCTAAGGAGGCTTGAACCAAGTTGTCATAGTTACTGTAACTGTCAACATTATTGAAATTTGTATTTGGAGGGCTGCGCTCTCCTAAATTATTATAGTATAATGAATGAATATCAAGTTCTTCAATAAGGAAAACTTTAGACCCTCCCTCCCCCCCCCCCCAGCTTTGCTTTTTCTTGTTAATTTTATGACGAACAATTATTTCGAATTCTGCAGATGTCCCACTATCCGAAATATATTGAGGTTCGAACTGGGAAGATTGCCCCACTTGAGTTTTGAATGCATTTATAAATGTAATGTGAGTAGAAGAAGACCTGTAGTTATTTGACAAGAATCAGCAACAATGTATAGGATCGAATACTTCTGACTACAAGTTTGTTGTTGTCATGTAGATTGGTTAATGTACTAGCTACTTCGATTACGTCATCGGGAGAGAACGTAGTGGTAGCTAGCCAATCTGGAATTTTTTAGGAACGTAAAATTCCACTTGGACGCCATTTGGAAAATTTAGAAATATTCTGATAATTTTGGTTCCGTTCTATTCTTCTTGGTTACATCATAAAACGTGTTAACAGTAGAGTCGATGTGTACGAGCATTGTTGAGTATTTAGTTTTATGTTTTATTTAGAATCTTTGAATTTAAATTTAACGTGCAGGGGAATTTTCCTTTTAAATGAATCAGGAAAGCTGATGGTGGATGTTGGTTAATGCGTAGGGATATATTGACAGTTGTGTATAACAAAGACGGATTATTAATCAGTTGTTTAGCTAAATGCGACGGGTTGGTAATATGATTGTTTGTAGAAAGGCAAAAAATTGTTATATTACATAGTAATCTAGGAACGGCATATACGAGACCGATTTTACATCGTGAGTATTTGAAACTAATCGCAAGTTCAATAATTGTCATTAGAAGTTTATTACGAAGTAGGGATAGTCAAAGGTCCCGGTTGAAAAGGCTAAATCTCAAGGCCAGTGTACGATTGCTCTCCCGCGTCTATTTGCTCATAAACTCTAACAATCGATAATTACACGTATATACAGTCTGATTCAAAGGTCACGGATCACCGTAAAATTTTACTGTCCCGCGTAAGTAATAATGATTGTGGCAGATTAAACCGAAATCGGATTAAAACGAAATTTGGGGTCTTCTTGGATCCTCTTTTAATGCCTCTGAAACCCACATATAACAAAAGTTACCCTAAATCCCAACCCAAATCTCAAAAAAGCGCCCCCATTAAAATAGAGAAAATTTCATTTTAATCCGATTTCGTCACAATAAATGTCGCGGCTATCGGCGCTCGCTGTACATTGCGAACAAAACACATTCGGTCATAACGTTACACTAACGCAGAGTAGTCAATTACATAATAATAACACGTTTCCACAATCTGTTACTATTTTTTGTTCAAACTCTTATTTCTGCATACGCGGGGATATCATAGAGGGTTAGTGTCATTGTTAGTGCTGGAGTTTAAATAAATAGCAACATCAATATCAGTTAGAGGTTATAATTAAACGACAGTAATCAAAATTCTTATAATAAAAGCTCTGATTTTTCCCATCTACTAACCCTAACCCTAAACCCGTCTCATAACGTTCAATTGAACCATCGTAATAAAATTTGCAATCTTGGCAAGTCCCGCTCTTCTACGTTGGTGTCAAAAGTAACTTACGCTGCTGTTACAATGAAGATCTTCTCAATGCCATTGTCTTCATCACTATTATCTGAATTATAAGTAAGGTACATATGTATATTATACGTAATTAAGAGTGAAATCTGGTAGTGATAACAACGGCTATGATATCAAAGTTAATGTATGAATTTATATACGTTCTGTAGCCAGTGTTGCTAATAGAGAGAGGTTGATATTAACGTAAAGGGAATCTCTTTTTTTTTCTCACGTCAATTCCAACGAAACAATAGTAGTAATTGTGAAACGGTCTAAAAGCTCTAAACATCATTGATTAAGCCACATATTAATAACATTATATCGAGCAGATGTGTCTCGCAAGTTACTTTGTATAATTTAGAAATAATCTATGAAACGACTTGGAGATATTTAAGCAGCTCGACTTCACTAGCTTTCATTGTCTCGCATTTGGTTCCATTATTCAAATATTAATATCTTATTCCATTCTAATAATGAGTAGTGAAATCGTCCACAATGTTAACTTGTGCCCTGGTGACTAATCCTCTATCGATAATGATATTCGATACTCGTTCTTCGTTGTCCTGGTGACAGTTGCGACTACTGTTCGTCTAAATAATAAGCGCGTTTTAGATAGCCCAATCTATAGACTTTCGTCGTCTAACGATAGTCAATCATATATATTGTAATAATATTGAAGCAATGGAAAGAACATTCAGTAATTTTGTTTCCAAAATCTGTTCACTTTGAATGCTAGGTACAAATCATGTGACTTTCATTGGGTATTAATATGCTTCTCGACTTTGCAACTGTTGGATGTTAATATTAATGATTACTAGAGCATCGCCTGTACCAATTACGACGCAATATTAAGACACGCTTAATATTAAACGCAGAAAGTCAGTAATCACGATTTGAATTGCTTAATGACGATTCGCACATTAAATAGTATACTACACATTAAGCATGTGGCATATTAATCTAATAATAATAATAATAATAATAATAATAATACCTACTGCGGCAATTTGGATTAATCATTATAAATTCGTATAATAATAACAATAATGCACATTGCACAATAAGAATTCCTGATATGTATGTAAAGTATGGAAACCGGGGTTAAATGCGTCTCAAACATTGTAATAATGAAAGCTTCTTACTGTGGCACTACAGTGGCGTTAACCCCCTTGCCGATCATTTCAATCACGGACGATTATTCGATTGGCAAGCATATTTCCTCCGCTGTCCAAGCCACCAACAATACCTCTTCCTCTGTCAACTCATAGTAGGTTAGTATACAATTGTTACTACAAAGTTGCTTGGCTTTAGACAATTGAAGAACTTGCCTCATCGCCCAGTACACTTTGCCTGCTTTCCAAAAATATAATCAGACTACGCAACAACCTTCCCAGCACATCATCTTTCCAATGACTTCTCAACAATTACAACAACATCAGCAACAAAACCAGCAGTTTGGACAACAGGTTGGTTTTCAACAAAGAAACTATGAATATTGTCGAAACAATGGCCTCTGATTGTCTACAAACAATTATATATTTACGAAATTCCTTTTTGATAGTTCTGGAGTCAGCAGGTTCAAGCAGCAGAACAGTTTCAAAGCGATTTCAAGAATCACCCATTACCTCTGGCTAGAATTAAAAAGGTTATGAAGAGCGATCAGGATGTCAAGGTGGATTACACAATTCACGTCTGTTTCGAGGCTTTTCTGCGCTCAATAAAAATTTAAAGTTTTTCTCTTATTTTTTTTGTTCTCTCTCAATACACCAGATGATTAGTGCCGAGGTATGACGTCAACGTGCACATACTTACATGTCCCATCCAATAATAAAAGGCGACAAAGAATCCGCCTAAAAGTCTAACTGTGATATCTAATCAGTATTCGATATCTGCCTCTCTCACCATCCATTTCCCTCTCTCAGGCTCCGATTCTTTTCTCTAAAGCCTGCGAGATTTTTATATCCGAAATCACAATGCGCGCATGGATTCACGCTGAAGAGAACAAGCGCCGCACTCTCCAACGGAGTGATGTTGCATCGGCCGTGACTCGATCTGATCAGTTCGATTTTCTTATAGATATTGTACCTCGTGAAGAAGTGCCAAAGGTGGTGCGTAGGCCTAAGGAAGAGGTTGTTGGGGTAAATATTTGTTATCGCGCGATTGATTTTCGAGAAGGAGAAATACCATTTAGAACGGTCAACCGTAATGACTGTCCCCGTCACTCTGCCGCCATCTACATATTATATGATCTCATCTTTTAACTCTCTTGTTTTGTGGATTCATTGATCATGCGCTAAAGTATTCCTGCTTGCATTTATGTAGCAACAGACGGAAGCGATGTATGACCAGAATGTATTGGCTTATTATCAGCCGCCTCCTGGTATGCAATATACCTCCGAAGCAACTGCGTATTATCCGGTATGACTTGCTGTAAAACTAGTCAGGTCACTTCTTTTGCATTTGCCTCCCCTTTTCCTTCTTGCAACTCCACCATTTTCTTCACCCAGTTTCTTCTTTATCTTCATCTTTACTTTTTATTGTCTTCCATATATACACGCGTGTATGTGTGTGTGTTTGTAAATCTTTTTCTTGCTTTCTTTCTTTTTCAAAAAAAAAATACGTACCCTACTCCTCCCCCGCCGCAAAAATTCTTTTCGAAAAAAAAATAAACAATTACAAAAAAATTACCAAAGAGAGAACAGATCTAACAAGAGGCCAAACCAAATTACTCCAATGTAACCATCAACGATCGCCAAAACTCAGCTACAACAAGATCATATTCAACTTCAAATGCAACAATACCAGCAACACCAAGTTCAACATCAACTTCTACAAGGAATACCCCATCAGCAGCAGCAACGCATAGATGCACAGTCCAATAAGCCTCAAGACAAGCCAATACGTCAAGATCAGATGCCGTCAACGAAAGTTGCTTCTATAGACGATCAGCTGCACGATGCTGCCGTTGTCGTGGCTGCCTTCACTGCAGCTACCCAACGACAAAATGACTCGCAAGTTCGGCGAGACAAGAACGTGACTGGGAAGTAGAGAATATAAATCGAATTTATGGTACAGGAAACGAGATTTGTTTGAGTGGAGGTTTGGAACTATTGTAAGATGGGAACTTGTGTACATATTATCTGATTAAATTTTTGCTTGACTTTTTCTTCTTCTTCTTTCTTCTATTGGAATATTTGGCTTGTTGGAGGACGGGGAATTATACATCAACCAAAAGAAAATTTTTGTAATTTTGTAGTAGTAGCAGCAGTAGTAGTAGTTTTTGTTAGAGTTGTTGTTAGAATTGTTGGTTGTTGTTATTGTTGTTGTTGTTGTTGTTCTTTCCACCCACCACACTTAAGATTCATTGCCTTTGCTACGTCTGTTCTCTCGTTTCTTCATTGGTACAATTAATGTTTTATTTCTCATATCTTCACTTCTAATTTTTCTTTGACTTTAGTATTCTCCATTTCCACAACCAGGAATAAAGGCGTTTGTATACACACACCATCAGGTCCAGTAGCTGTCGAATACAAGATGTCTAGTTTGGTATTCACATGATCAAACGAACTTGGTTTCATTGTAGATTGTCAACACACACGTTCTCTGTGTTTTTTTTTTAAAAAACTCTATTCTGTAAAATTAAATGATCTACGAGATGCAAATCTACAGTGCCCTTTAACATTGCTGCAAACACTTTCAACTCATCTACTACCGCCTCCACGCGTTCCGAAGACTCTGCCGAAGCAGATACTTCTACAAGCCAATGGTTATTAGGATCAAATGGTCTAATGCGTGTTGCATCGTTCCTAACCTCTGGCTATATTTTACATGAGTAGAAGAATGGTTAATAAAAATCGTTGACGAGTTTACATCATCAAATGTCGAGTTTTTATGCACAGAATTTGAATATGACGGTATACCAGAAATATCTGCGTGATGACTATTTTTAATATGTTGCGATATACAAAGATGACACCTCTTCTAATAAACTCAAAGGCAAAGCTGCAAATTAATAGAGACATGTTAGATTCTCGTTTAAATCGAACATGCTTGGTTGCACTTTATAAAGTTCGTTCTTTATCTGCTCACTCACCTATACCCAAGAGCAGTCATAAAAGCAAACGCATTGCCATTTGTGAGCGATGTGCTGTTGATCTGACGAACAGTTACTGGTTTTTGCGTGCTCGTTTCTGGAGGACCAATTTGAATGAGTTGCCTACAGTATAACAACAACAAGATGGTAGGATCAACTAATATGCGAAAAGGATGACGAGTCCGGCCAGGATTTAATATTTTCACGCATCTGTCGACTCTTTGTCCTTTTGTAAGCCTCAAACATACCTACCATTTCCTTTTCGTAAGATTCTTGTCATCTAATGAGGATTTTAGTCTGAGCAGGACATCTTCGTTACGACCTGGTCCACCTCTGGTTTGGGCTTGTTTAGGAGGATGAAATAAATGCGTGAAAGAATGTAATTGGGAGTTTGTAGTAGAGAAGGAAAGAGTGCTTAATTTTTCACAGATTATTATTCTTCAAGTATACTGTCTGGGTACTGGCAAGCCTTACAGAAAGGTCTCGCGCCCTCCGCTAATTCGGTTTTTACCTGTCGGCACAAAGCCTATTTCGTGTTCACTAATTGGTACGGGCTCAGTTGCACATATGCCTATAAGTCTGTCTATAAGCTGGGATTGGATTTGATCCGATATTCTACCATGAAGAGAGCATTCAAAGAGCATAACAGACGTATAAAATAGTCAAGGAATAGGAGTGGCTTAGCCACTATTAGATTGGATCAAACTTAATATATGTGGTAAAGTATTATAAGCGTTCTACTACATCTCAAGCCTGATAACCTATTTGGGTTAATTATGTAGTTACTGAAGCAACAGCAATAAATTAATTTTGTCAATGTAAAAGTTGTACTTGTTGATATAATAATGATTGATCTTTTATTTTGTCCTTGAAACTGTCGATATATTCCAGCTATAGTCCTCTTTACATTTAACCTAGCACTAACCTTTTTATTACCAACATCAAAAACCGACTAAGCATATGTGGTCGTGTTTGTGTAACTGCCAATAGTTATTATATTGCCTTACCCCAAACTTCATCAACGCCTGATATACTTTACTCTAATGACTGATAATGTTCAAAACACGTCTACTGTTCGGTAAGATCATTGTAGGCAGCACTTTATGTCACGATCCATGTCTGCTTTCTAATAGCATTTTTATCCGTTGACGCTAGGTTACAGATCGATGTTGCCAAGCTAGAGCGGTATTTGAGGTCTAAACAAATTGATAAATTCAAGCTACCAATTGAGGTGGAGCAATTTACCTATGGACAGAGTAATCCTACATACCTCTTGATCGATTCTGAGTATGTTGCTTAGAAAGCATAGAAAGAGAAAGGAGGGAGACCAAAGATTAATTCCGTCCTGTGGTAATTACTAGTAAGAGGCGTTATGTGTTGAGGAAGAAGCCTCCGGGAACATTGTTATCATCTACCGCACATGCTGTCGAGAGAGAATTCAAAGTATTAGACGCATTAGGAAAACACACAGATGTACCTGTGCCAAAAGCATATGTACTTTGTGAAGACAAGGAAGTAATTGGAACATCATTCTATGTGAGTGAAATGAAAAAGTCTGTTATGAATCACATTGCGTTTAATAGGTAGATGAGAGTTTAACCTGCGTGTGTTTTCTATCATAGATTATGGAATTTATTGAAGGTCGTATATTTCAAGACATTCGTTTGTTGTCTCTGCCTCGTGAAGAAAGAAAACAGTGGTACGTTGGTGTGGTTAGGGTATACAGCTTTCATTACCATGATACATTCAATTTGAAATATAACATTGTACAATAGCTGGTATTCTGTCATAGAAACTCTTGCAAAGCTGCATTCGGTCGATTACAAAACAATAGGTCTTGCAGATTATGGCAAGCAATCAAACTTTTATAGACGACAGATACGCTCTCTACAAAAAGTCTTGGCTGCTCAAGCACTCGCAGAAGATGAGAATGGAAACAAAGTTGGTGAAGTTTTCAGATTGAATGATATGATTGCTTGGTTCAAGAGAAATGAGATTCCCGATGAAACTACGATTGTGCACGGCGATTTCAAGGTAAAATTTATTGGCATAACGAAATGCGTACTTGCGTGACTAACAATGAATTGACATTGCTATTCTTTAATGACCCTGATTGAAAAAAGGTGGATAATATGGTTGGTAGATATTGTCTTTGCGACTGTCTAATATACTCGACATATCATTTGCGCCAATACAGTCACATAACGTTACGTTAACATGTGTTATTAGGTATTTCATCCAACTGAGCCACGTGTAATCGGCATACTCGACTGGGAACTGTCCACTATTGGCCATCCTCTCTCTGACCTGGCCAATTTGCTTAATCCTTTCTATCTCCCTACGATTAACCATATTACGGGACTCAGAGACGTCATTGATCTTCCAATACCCGCAGTGGATGAGCTCATCCATTATTACTGTCTTCAGGTTAATCGGCCATACCCAATTCCCAGATTTGAATTTGCAATAGTGTTTTCGTTCTTCAGGGTGAGTATAATCGTGAATGCAGCCTTGACAAAGGTAGCACGTACCATAACTAATATTGTACCGATACTATATAGTTGATAGTTATTATACACGGAATAGCTGCTCGTGTGGCCAGGAAACAAGCAAGTTCAGCCAAAGCATTACAGTATGCAAAATTGCTTAATCCTATGATACACGCAACATTCGATATCATTGACAAAGGCGATCTAAACGGCCAAAGCAAATTATGATAACAATTCTGCTATGACGTTAACTAGTAGTAGCATTTACGGACAAATAAATAAAGTCTTTCTCTATTTAAATGAAAGTTATGAATTAACCGTAAATATTTCGTTTTACAAGTTCTTGTTTCTCGGGTGGACATCCAATGGCCGTCAAGTACCTATGATGGAAAGTAGTAAGTACATGTATATTGTCAATCATAATATAAGATCAGCTTAATTCATCAGACACTAACTCGGATACACTCCCATACGTCTCACGTATATAAGCAAAAAGTTTTCTTATTGCCTAATAAATTAAATACAAGGTTAACATTCTTGAAGCATTGTGCAAGTTGCTTTTCATCTGTCTACGTACTTCAGGTGGTGCCTCGGCAAAATCATCCGTCAATCCAACATTTGCGACACCTTTCAATACCTGTGAGTAACGAGGAAACAAGCCTTTCTGGGATAAGCAATAATCATGGACTATTGCTTCTTCGTCCACTCCGCATAAGCCAAGGATTAAGGCAATAATGAATCCTGTACGGTCTTTTCCAAGTGTACAATGTATATAAACAGGCAGATTGGAGTCATCAGATATGATATCTAGTAGCTTTGTAAGAGAAGATTCAAGTTAATATAAATAGAATAACCAGATCATATAATTCTCACAGGATAGAAAGTAACATAAACGTGTTATGGCAGGAGACCACGCTTTCCTACAATCTCGTTCGCTCCTCCGATCCTCAATGGTCATCAACTCACCGTGCATATCTCTTGATGACATCCGTTAGCAAAATCGACATACATGCCACTTAATCCCCGAGGACTTGTAACTTCTCGACCCACAGTTCTTGCCGCCTCTTTTCTTTGGCATGTCAAAAAGTACCCGAAGATCTTAAGCTTCAACAACCATGGAGCAGTCCCTATGACATAACGCTCGAAATTACGGCCTGTAAAGTTCAGTTGAATGATTTTTCCACAAGGGGACAACGATTCGAAATGTTTCTCGCGTTCTTCGGTGCCGTCGTTTGATTTGTTTGATTCGCTATCAAAAAGGGATAAAGGTTGTGGAGGTGGATACGGCGTGATTACGTATGCGTTGGAGAGGAAAGTCGAGTTGACTGGTTCATAACTAGGAACAAATAAAATGAGTAAGACGGAAATTGGCTATCCAATAGTAATAGTACACGCGCGGATTTGTTTGTATACCTTGATCTCATATCAATTATAGTCTTGATACCATAGTCAACCAATCTCTTAATGTCTGCATCATCAGCTTCATCGGGTTTTCCACCACGAAACAAAATCCCGCATTTAATTCTCAAAATAATAAAAAGTAAATTCGCCTCAATACTCAAAGGTAACCCACGTTAAAACACCATATATCAATGTAATTCTTAGCGCCTAAGTAAAGACCTCGAAAACTCAATGTAATTCTTATATACATACTTTTTCATATCCTTCGTTAGTGGGAAGTCATTAATAGCGGTTCCCACATCTCTAAAATTCAGAATACTCTCTACTGCGTACTTCATGATATACGTCGTCAAGAGAGTGAGGATTCTCTTCTATCATCGTTTCCTGCAGAATTAGGTGTAACTACGTCATGAATAAGGTCGAGTATGTGCGGTATATGTGCCAGAGCTTTATTGGTCGGAGAAAGCCCAATTTCGCAGGTTGCATGACTTTGTTATTGTGACACACCTATTTTCTGACCGACCAAACACCTAACATTTCGAAACAACTGACTCCGTCCATTCGAACTGACACATATATATTAGACACTGTCAAGTTCTTGGTCATGTGCGCATACTGATACTACTACCTAACTGTACAAGAGACACATCCATTGAGTTGCATATTTCAAATGTAATAGGTGACATCTATATTACTAAAGGTAGCGTTCGTATTCCAATAATGTCTGAATTAATTTCATTATTGAATATCTCATAGATCATTTTCTGTTAACTGAATTTCTCTATGCAATTTGTAGTAGTTACTGATACGCACATGTCCTCAAGGTGCTATTCTGTTATACAAACAGAGTAGGATACATCAAATTCAGTACTTAGAACATACAAGGATTACCTGTTAGAGAAGTGTTACGTTTAATCGGTTTGCCTGGGCAGATTTGCTATTTGTGGTGGGGACGTTTTCAGAAATTGAACCTAATTGCGCTTTTAAAAAATGGCAACTCATTGCATTTCCTCCTTGTATTTAGTCATGCGAACTGTATATCTCAAAGCCTTGATAGTTTGCGTTTAATTTATTCATAATTATGCGCACTAAATATACAAGAGAAAAAATGCAAAATCAAATATACAAGCAAAACATGCAAATCCCAATTGGGAAGGTCCAATTTTGTCTATCTTCTATCACTGCTATAAAAATATCCACACTCAAGTATCTATTTACAATACACAGTTTCTATTCTCTACTCGAATTTAACATTGTTGTAATTATGTTTCTTAGGTCTCCTTATCCATTCTTCCTTTAGCAGCCCGTTTTTCGTCACTCTGAAATTCCTCAGCTTCTTTGCCAGACACCCAATCACCACTCTAACATGTTCCTCCTCGATTCCAACTGCTCCGTCAAACTCCAACTTTTCGACAGAACACTCGGAATGTTTCAAAAAACACTCTAGGGAATTTACACCAAACGACCACATTCCTCTAATAATCAATTCCCTTAAATTAGGCAACTTGATAAGAGACAGTTTCCTCATTAGTCTACTAGCATCGTATTCGAAATTTGCATCTGATATATCCACTTTGACGAGATGCTTGCACGACGAAAATATGCACACCAGTTGTTGTCTATCAAACGGCCACAGTGACAAATTCAACTCTCTGACACTATGACAAAACTCTCCGACTGTGATGGTTGCTGTTCTTGTAGGATTCACCCAATAAAACAACGCCCTCTCTACAGTGACTGTTTTTAGAGTATGGCTACATTTGCGCAACAGATCACATAGAATTGGCTCGGGAACAGCAGAAGCGATGAATTCCAGAACATTGAGATTTGGAAATGAAGCGCTCAGTAAAGGATCGAGGATAGTCGCAGATATTAGTCCTTCACATAATTCAAATCTGAGAACTTCCAGTTGACTGCAGTCGCTGAGAAATTTCAAAGAACACCAAGATGAGAAGGATATACCAACAAAGCACACTTTGCGTAGATGGTTAACCTGGGCCTTCAAAGCGTCGAAAATGTCGGCTGCTCCAACTGAACAATAGTGAATTTCAAAGTCTTCTAATTTAAGCTGATTTTTGATCAATACGATCAAAGGCTGAGCTTGATCCCAGAGCGACTCGGTCTCCTGTCTGCTGATGGGGACGCCATATGATCTGTATGGGTAGTCTAGATTAACGACTATTCTCTTCAAATTGCGACATACTTTAGATAAAGCATAGAATACTTCGGTCTTGTTATCTTTGGTGGTTGCTATAAACTCGGTTAATACGGTTAACGAGTGAGCTCCTTTTGTTGGCAATAATTTTCGAACTGAAAACATGTCACAGTAGATGTGATTGAGACTGGAGCATCTGTATTCGTTTGCGCCTCTGGTATAGTTTTGGTTATCGATCATTAATTGCCTTAGTAGCGGAGATGCACGCGTTAGATATCCACTGAGAATAGTAACGGCCATGTCCTCGATCTGTAGTATGTCATCGGAACCATAAGTTGGCATTAGATATTTGAGCAATGCGTTGTATTCAAATATTTGTGCTTTGGGAGACATTGGATGAGTCGACAAGTCATCGAGCTTCCAGCTCAGTAACAATCCTTGAGTATCGAGAAACGACAACCAATCGACAACAGCCTGATTTAATTCCATCAAATCCAGCGATCTCAGATACTCGTTGTACGGAAACATTGGCTTTTGAACTGAATGTGGTACGATTCCTCCGTCAGCCAACTCGTTTATCTTGTCATGGATCATACATATAAAATATACGTCTACTAGTTTAGCTGATTGCGATTCACGTGCACGACATGTGCATAAGCATGACTGATGATGACAGGTGAACAGGAATCGAAATGGTTGAGACCAGAGAAATTCGACAGCGGTAATGCACCAGATACGATTGACCAATAGGCAAGCGTGTAGAGTTCGTTTGTCGGTTGAGAGAGAGGCAAATATGTTGCGTAGACAGTCTGGCGGAAGAGAGGGAGACAATGGGGGACGACGACGGAAAGGAAGCTTAGAGATTGTGTGAGTTGATGGGTGGATTGATGATTGACAGTCAAATGAAGGTGTTGGAGACATTTTTCAAAAGAATTTCAAGAATGGCAGATATGTAAGCTTCTTCTCTAGATGACAGAGTTTCTTTTTTTCCTTCCCCTTTTTCACTTGGGAAACGAGTTGCCGTCTTATACAATCCTTGCAGAAAATGCCAGTTGTCAAACAATGTGGCACTGCATATTGTATAAATATTTGCGTCCGATCACCAAAGGATATGTCATATACGGATGAAATTGTTTATATCATGTTATTCGGCGTACACAAACTGAGACAATGGCGTACATCGCATTGTGAATATTATTGGTAGGGGATAAAAAGGTAAAACTTTATAGATATGGGGTACGTCGAATTTCAGGGGTCACCGAAAGAATTAGAAAAGAAAAAACAAGCTGACAAGGTCACGTCAGATATATACACGAATAATCGTACAATCATACGTGAACACCAATTATGAATGTGACACGTGTAGTTCTTGAATTAATAGCACGTTTTATTGTGGTGAGTTTAAATATCGTATAAAAAGATGTGCTACAACGCATATTATATTAATGTGTGAAAGTGATTCGCAAATCTTTGCAACTAGGATACTTTCACAACAGCTATACAATCCCCAGGTATGAAGAAAGAAGGTGCAGAATTTCTTACTCGTGTTGATAATCGCAGGGTTAGACAAGTTTTTGGTGCTATGAGAGATGCAAGCAGACGGTCGGCCATGACATACGCACGTTCCCATTAATACTATCACATGTTCATAATGTTGTGACCGATGACCGATGACCGATGAATGTGCGTAATAGTATGCCAGCATTGAAACGCTGACGATGAAGTGGCAGCATCGACTGGTGTAAATATCAAGCAGAAGTTTGATAACATTCAGATCAGAGTTCATCTACTTGAGTTAATTGAACAGAGTCCGTTCATTTTTTGGGGGACACTTTTATTAATTCTTTTTATAGAGATGGAAAATAATATAACGGGGTGACCGCGTCTTATTGTGGCGTTACCCCGTTCGAACTTCATCTGTGGCGTTGATTTTGGTATCGTTGCACAACATACTCGTAAAATACAATGTATACATATATCTTATTGTGCTTGCACTCAAATTTTAAGGTTGTCATTATCGGAAAGATCGTATAAGCCTCAATCACAATAACAATAAGGTTTTATGCATGCAAGTTCCTATTACGTATTCTGATACATTTAAATTCAACAATAGAATATGTGAATGCAGATTGATGAAGGCGTCGATTGTTGGGGTGAGGGCGTAAAAGGACAATGATAAAAGATGACATGTGGAAGTCATGTACTTAGCAAAGGTTGTGTAATTGTGTAATTGTGTAATTGTGTAATTGTATAATTGTAGGCTTGGTAGCGTAATTGTAATGCTTGCTTGGTGTTTGCTACCAATATTAATATGCCACCATTTGTCAGAAGTTGATACTTTTAAACAACTAACATAAGCTGCAGAAATGTCAGTAGCTTGACAGAGGTAATTGATGGTAGTAAAAGCGAACGGACATATACATCGTTGTAATATATATTTAAGGAATTTATCTTGGGCACATTCCCTAAATCCTGTAATAGTAAGCAGACTTAACCAATAGAAGTTGATGGATCGTCAATACGAGACAATGTTTATTAATTATCAAGCTTTGTTTATTCCTCAGTCACATAAATGTTCACAGCTAATTCTTTTATCAGGACAACTGCGCAAATACCTCATCGGAGCGGAATGGCGGTCAGCACATATCTCACACGTACTCGGTGAGCAAACTTCACTTGCGAATGCTTTCTTAACTTCGCCTTCTAAACGATCGATAGCATCACCGTATTTAAGAAAATTTGCGTATGATAATTGTTTGCATTATTGGATACAATAAATTACATACTTGCGTCTATTAACCGTTTATTTGCCTGCTCCTGGTTGCTTCGTTTTGGTTTTCTCGCCTGACTTTCCTGTTGCACGTTTTAATGCTGCAAAATACGTCTGTGTTATCGTGTTATCGCATTACATTATATCTATTCCAACTCTCCCTACGGCCTATTAACGTAATGGATCAAAGTAATGAGAAGCGTGCAAAATTAATTGAAGAAGGTGTAATGCGCAATTGAATGTAGGGCTTGTCTGCAATCTAAATTCGCAGTTTACTGAAAACAAAGTAGTGGAGGCAACGGAGGAAGAACATAAATCCAGGATAAAGACGTGCGTAGATACTGTAAATGTTTTTGTTCAGTGAGCACAGTGTCAGGACCGTATTTATGAATGACACATTCCTGTGTAGTATACCATTGCTTTGGCGCACTCTTGCCATTAGATTATTGATTATTTTCCCGTTTTACCAACAAATAAACAATCGTAGTTTCCCTATCTTCAGTATCATTTGAATCTTTTATTTCAATAATTGTTCGTTGGAATCTTTGACATCTGGATTATTATTTAATTCTTTATAAACACGTTTAATGTAGTGAGATTTTACTGACCTATATAGGCTTTCGAAACTAATCTTATCGAAAGAAATAGACGCATCTCGAGGTCAAATAATAATCTAGGATCGGCGTATACAAGACATCGTGAGCATTATAATCAAACCTTAAGGTCACTAACTTTATTTATAGATTTAACATTAGTAAAGATAGTCAAAGGTCTCTCCGAAGATGGATCCATGAATGCAAACCCTCCTGTCAATATATAACAGAACGAGATTTCAAGGCGTGCTCTACGGATTATCTTTCATTCAAAGGAAGTCTTGATTGGGTTTACCACTGTAATGTTTATGGAACAATATGACAAGAAGAGGCAAGGTATTTATACATAAGAAAAGACTACGCCAAAAAAAAATTATAAACGAAACAAGCGAAAAACCTGCGAAAACGCTCCGAAAACTAATGATTACCAATGCAAAGAACAAGATAAAAATCCCGCTTACTTAACACAAGTAAAGACAAGAAAACATGTAAGTTTTATATTAGAGCAAAGATTTTATTTAAGGACAAATCTTTAGCAGGTAATAGTAAGAGCATATGAGAATATTTACTCTCCTTCTCAAAATGTAATAAAAGTCTTACATCATTGTGATCCTATATGTTGTTATTAAACTCATCACATAACATTTCTATTTCCTCAAAAAGATGCAATATAAAGTGTCTGCATCTGGATGCACATCTTAGTGATTTCTTCCAGTGCAGAATCAGGCATCAGTGGTTGTAGTCCATTCATAATATGGGGCAGACTGCAACAAAACCAGACAAAGTGAACATTTTATTATGTGACATAAATGAGAGGCTGATGTGGCTGAAAGTTAACTAATTTGATTAATATTGTGGCAAAATGTAATTGATGTTCAAGTTGATTAAGATAGACTTTTACTTGAATTACAATGTGCTTAATATAGGATTATGTCTACTTTACAGAAACCTGTAGTTTTTATAAATCTCTCTGTGACATCAGAATAAGATCACCACTATCTAACAGGCATCA